TTCTTGCTAAGATTCTAGAGACGGAAACCTAATTCTGGATCTTAACTTGGAGTAAAAATCTGTGCTGATTTTATTTTCTGTAGGTTACAGCATTTCTTTGGAAGTACTTCTACACAAAGTGATTTGCATTGTCATCAGTCACAGTACAGTCATTTTGATGACATAATGACCTGGATGTCACTTAAAACTAAGACTTAATGTGGATATTTGGTTTATAGTTTGCAAACCCATCTATTGTGGCTTTATATTATCTGTGAAATAGGCTATTGTGATTTGTTCAGTCAGATGCTCAAGGTCCTGGCAGTCCTTTACCAAAGTCTTAACATTAACTGTGAATGAGTGTGTGTGTTTGTGTGTGTACCTCTTATGTTAAATTTATCTTGGCTCCTGGTAATACCTGGACAAACCCTAATGTTTTCTTGGCAATTTGGAAATGATTTGCCATTGCCTTTTTTGGCTGAGAATTACTGGTCCAAGATCACCCAGCTGGTTCCAGGCTTAAATTGGGTTTCTAAATTTCATTTAGTTTTTAGATCCTAAATTAGAAGACAGGATCATCAAGCAATCATTTTTTTTTTTTTTTACTAAAGGTGGCAAGATAGGATTTCTAAGGACTTTTTCACTAGGACATTAGCCTAGCCTGTTTGATACCAGCCTAATTGTCATTATTATAATAGGTGATAAATATAGAACTGCAGAAAATCACAAAATAGAAAGACCTGTAAATAGAAGTGGAACAACTGTGGCAAAAGACGGCAAAGATAGTACAAATAGTAATAGATGCTTTGGGTATAATCCCAAAATATTTGGAGCACCACTTGAGCACCATCAAAATCACTATCGGTTGATTGCTTTAGGCACCTTTACTTGAAACAGCTCACATCCTATAATAATATATCCTTTAATACCATCAAACAACATCTGCCAATCCCAGATCCTTGGGAAGGGCTCAACAGATTAACAAAAATGCCAAACAGTCTAAACATCTGGCTGACTATGTGACCAACCATAATATTCTTTTTTCAAGCACAGCTGTAGCATGTAACAAGAGATGTGACAATGAACAATGAACGTGTTCTTCAATTAGAACTGAGTATTTCAACTCCATGTTACTTTTCTTTTTTTAAATTTTTTTTTATTAATTTAAGAAACCACATAATACATTTATAAATGCAAGTAAAACAATTTACAACAAGCATCATCTTGTAACTCCATGTTACTTTTCAAAGAGTCTTGCTTTAAGGATGGGGAATTGTCATTGTACCACAAGTTATATTTTGGAAATTATAATATTTTTTAATATTTCTTCATGAATTACCTTCAGCTAATAAAATATGGCTATGTTACATAATAGTTTGGTCATCAATTGCATAAAGTGAGTTTTTCTATTTTATACCTTATTATTTTTAACAATCAAAATCAGGTTAAAAAGAAACTTCAAGATTGTTAAAAATCACATAATTTTTCCTAAAAAAGGAAATATAAGTTCCTTTTGCTTAGTTAGCAATCTTCTAGGTGTCCCCATTTTGGCAATAAAGTTTTATTTTTAAAATATGTGGAAAAGAACCAATTGTACTCAGCAAGAAACATGGAACAGATAATCTGATGATTAAACATTACTACAGATCTTATCTTCATATTAGTTTGCACTATAAGGTCTCTGCAAACATTTATTCTGACTCCTAGATGACTTGAAAAAAATGTCTTTTAATTAAAGAAGGAAGCCAATAGTGAAGGAAGATATAACATTTTAACTTGGTATATGGCATTTATTTTTAAAATAAATGCTTTAAATGATCACAACATACTTTGCCACAAACCATGGTTTAGAAATCAACAGTATCTTAATTAAACTGAAATTAATCCAACATGCTTAACATGAATGTGGCCAGAAAGAGGCATTGGGTAATCTGTTTCAACCAATTATCTGAGCATATGCTGACCTTAATGTTGAGTCATTTGTTCTATTCAATTAATAATTGTTATGATGGACCAAATTTTCAAAAATAGCTGAATAGCTTTTATAGCTGAAGACAAGGTTCTACATCACTTGAAGAAGTGCTCCTTTGGAAATCTTTCTCATCCCCTAAACACCTTTTTTGTGGAAATGCCAGCCTAACAACCTCTTTGTCTAGCAAAGAGCCTAAATTGTATTGAACCAGGACAAAAAGTCTACCCACTATCAGGGTGGATAAAAATCAATGATTTTTTAAAAAAAATTAAAAAAAATCAGATTTTTTTGATTTAAATCGGATTTTTTTGATTTTTATCAAATTTATTTTAATAAAAAACTTTTGGGGTAAAAATCTATCGTAAGATAGTTTTCTATTTAAGATACATAAATAATTTAGTTTATTCAGCATGGAATGGAGCTTAGTTATGTAGCATGAGGCTGTATATTCTGCAACACTGGGACTATAGGTGAGTCAACAGTGGGTCAAAGGAGTAGCAGAGATGACAGTTGTTCTTTAAAAATTATGATTTAAATTGAGTTGATTTAAATCAAGCCTTTTTACTAGTGATTTAAATCATGATTTAAATTGTGCTTTAAATCAACTCGATTTAAATCAAATCCACCCTGCCCACTATAAACATAAAAACTTTGAAAAACTTGTTTAAACATTACAGTTACTTTTCACTTGCTTTGCTGGGGCCCGTGCTTGATAAAACAGGAAAAACAATACAGGAAGCATTAAAAGAATGGCTTATGTTCATATGTGTCTGTCATTAAACTATATGGATTATGTGATATAGCCTTCAGGATGATAACCCTGAATTTAAGATGCGTCCTTCAAAGGAAAGCTTGACAGAAAAAAAATTACAGCATTCTCATCAAATCTTAGACAACATTCCTAAATTATTTGAGAAGAAAAATTCAGGGTACACAAATGAGGTTTAGAACCCCCAGTCCTAAAATTCATACACATCTGGAAATTGATTCTATGTAGAAAGCTCCCCTTCAACTAATGCAGGGGTGTCAAACTTGCATCGTCATATTGTCATATTGTCTTTTTTCCCCTTCACTAAAATGGGGGTGGCCAGCATGTGATACATCAGGCCCGTGGGCTGCCAGTTTGACACTCCTGAACCAGGGGTGAAATTCAGCAGGTTCTGACAGGTTTTAGAGAACCAGTACCGGAAATTTTGAGCAGTTTGGAGAACAGGCAAATACCACCTCTGGCTGGCCTCAGAGTGGGGAAAGAATGGGGATTTTGCAGTATCCTTCTCCTGCCATGCCCATCAAGTCACTCCCACAGAACCGGTAGTAAAAAAAATTGGATTTCACCACTGCCTTGAATTTTTTTTAAAAAAATTGATTTATATGCCGCCCTTCTCCGGAGACTCAGGGTGGCTTACAATGCGTTAAGCAATAGCCTTCATACTTTTGTATATTTATACAAAGTCAGCTTATTGCCCCCACAAATTAGGTCCTCATTTTACCTACCTTAGAAAGGATGGAAGGCTGAGTCAACCTTGAGCCTGGTGAGATTCGAACTTACAGTAATTGCAGACAGCTGGTGTTAATCACAATGCTATCAGTCTGCTGAGCCACCAGGCCTCAGAATTAAGGGAAGCTACGTGCCTGTCAAGAGAACTGCCCTCTTCTGCAATCTGCTAATTAGCAACTGGGAAAGCAGAACATCCAGATTCAGCCACAGTTTTGTTCCATATAGTATTGTGACTTACGGCCGTTTTTCACAGTTATGACCTTTGCAGCATTCCCATGATCATATGTTCAAGATTCAGATCCTTAGCAACTGGTTCATATTTATGAGGGTTGCAGTGTCACACAGTCATGTGATTACCTACCTTCTCACAAGAAAAGTCATTGAGGAAGTCAGATTCACTTAGCAATCGGGTTACTAAGTCATCAGCTGCAGTGATTCACTTAACAACTGTGGCAAGAAAGGTCGTAAAATGGGAAACTCACTTAACAAATTTCTTAACATTGGAAATTTTGGACTCAACTGTGGTCATAAGTAGAGGGACATCTTTTTTTGCATCATCTTCAACAGTGTAACAGGTGTGCAAGCAGTTTGCCAGAGAAAGTGCACCAAGATGTACTTGGGCTGTTTGTGGTTCAGCCAACCATAAAGTGGGGAGGCTGAAAATGCCCATGTAGGACCCTCCCTCCATTTCTTATATTTAATGTGACTCCTGTAGTTGGAGTGGATCTCCAGCCCTGGCATATAAAAAATTTAGATGACCAGATCATGACCAGATCGTTTCACTGTAATGTTGAAGCCATTCAACAACTGGGAGCTTGCAGCCACTGAAACGTTTGGCAAAGTTGTTTTTTTTTTTTTTAAAGCATGCACAAAGCATGCCAAAAAGTATGTAGAAACTTAGTTTTATAACTGAGCAAGATTCTACAAATGTAGGCAAGAAAGAGGACATTTGGAACGGAACATATGAATCACAGACAGTGCAAATTTGGGAACCAGTTTGGAGCAAGTGAGACTGAGTCTGCCTGTTCTGTCCAGACTAATTAAAATCGTAACGTTTTATTGTTTTATATATTATTGTTCACATAAAGAGTTGACCGCCTGGATTTCCAGATCTGTTGATTTTAACTCCCTACAGACTCCGGATACCATCACCAATGGAATTCTGGGAATTGAAGTCTAAAACATCTGGAAGGCACCGGGTAGGTAGCCCATTCTAGTTCGCACCTCATGAATGAGAATCACACCCTTAAAAAGAGTCTCGGCTGTTGCACCTCCATCGCCTCGCGGTAACACCCGAGAGCTCTCCCGACCAAAGACACTTTCTGTCACCACCTTTTTGATGCGCACCTACCGGGCTTCCTGCCCCCCCCCGCCCCGCCGCCCCCTCTGGAACAGAGCAAGACGTAGCCCAGGTTCAAGAAGGCGGCAGGGTCCTTATCCGTTAGGTCACTTAAAGTCTGCCGGCTCCCACCCCGCGTCATTTTTGTGGAGGCAGCGGACACACACGCACGCACGCACACACACACACACACACACACACACACCCGCGGTCCGAGAGGACCTTATCAACCCGCCCTCTCCGGCAGAGCGCGAGGTTCTCTGCGGGCGAAAGCCGTGAGTTGAGCGCGGGGGCTCCGAGAGGGGAGAGGCTAGAAGACCTGGGGACGAGGGGCGGCGTGCCTGCCAGCCCCATCTCCTCAAGCTCCGTGGGGAAGGAGGGAGCCGTGGGCCAAAAAGAAAAAAAAAGGAAAGGAAAAGGAAAAAAAAAAAAAGGCACGCCACCTACTACTCCGCGTGGAAAAGTGCCAAGGCGAGGGCGGAAAACGAACTTTGCAATCTCCAGTCTTGGGAGAAAACGCGCGGGTGGAGGGGGCGGAATCCCGAAAGCCTCGGAGAAGCAGCGGTAGCTCAGCCTTCTTGATTCGGTTTGGCTTTTTAAAAACTGAAGAGGAGGAGGAGAGGGAGCTCCTGGAAAAGTTGTGCAGCCCTCAGTCGCCAGCGAGAGAGAGAGAGAGAGAGAGAGAGTGAGCTGGTCGGTTAATGCAAACAGCCTCTGCAGTCCGCCGTCCCCAGGAAAGCAGGACCGTTCAGAATCCTGCCCACGCCGCGAAGGGGGTTGGTGGGCGGGTGTGGAAGAGCAACAGTCGTGGGAGGAGAAGGGAGAGAAGCCGGCAGAACCACCTTGAAGGCGTCCAGCTGTCCCAGGCGCGTCTCGGGGTCTGTCCTGGCGCCGGCACGCGCGTATACACACACACACACGCATCTCTACACACGTGGGCGCATTTCGCCTCCGTTCGCAGCTGGACACCAACCCCCTGGGCCAAAGGGGTGGGGGAGCGACGCACTGATTCCCAGAAGGGGGGCATCACCCAACCCCGGACCTACTTTCCTCCGCCTGCCAGTCGGTGCCATCTCAATTTGGAGCGTGGGAGCTTGTGGGCAGCTGGGCGCCGAGTCTCCGGAGCCCTCGCTTTAAGTGGCGGCCAGTTTCCCTTTTTTCCCCCCCTCCTTCCACGCACTCCTTCAACCCTTAAGATTTTTTAAAATTTCTTTTTGTATGTACCAGACGTTATTCCCTCCACCCCCATCTCTTGGCAACGTTTTTGGGATTTTATTATCTTCTTTAGTAGCCGGGAAGAGAAAAAGCAACCTGCTTTCCTGCTTTGAAGCAACATTTGCAACCTGTTACATTTCTTTTTTATTATTATTATTATTAGGCGCTATCTGTTGCAGGTTTTTTGCTTGTTTTTTGCTTTAATAGAAAGCGATTGCTGGCTTGAACCCGCCACTTTTGCTTGGAGCATCGCATCTGCTAGCAAACTCACTCTTGGACTTGCAACCAATTCAAGCAGTTTGGCGGACCGGTAACTTGGCATATGCTATCTGGACTCACGATCGGGATTGCGTTTATTCTTTCGATCCCTGGTTTTTTGGTTTGTGTTTTTTTTTTTTTAAAGAAGATCTGAGGCTTGTTTGCACATCTTAAACTGCCACGGAGAAAATCCCAGGAAGCATTTTGGTCCTTTCTTTGTGGGAGAAGCCGAACGAAAAGAAGTGTGTTTTGAGTTCTGTTTTATTTTTCACTTTTAAACCTTTTTTTTCCCCTTTCCTAAAATGCACTGCTATCTCCTGAGCGTGCTCCTCACCCTGGATCTGGCCACGGTGGCCTTTGCTCTGTCTACGTGCAGCACCCTAGACACGGACCAGTTCATGCGTAAACGGATCGAAGCTATCCGAGGCCAGATCCTCAGCAAACTGAAACTCACCAGCCCTCCGGAAGAGTACCCCGAGCCCGAGGAGGTTCCTCCGGAGGTCATCTCAATCTACAATAGCACAAGGGACTTGCTGCAGGAGAAGGCGAACCACAGGGCAGCCTCTTGTGAAAAGGAAAGGAGCGATGAGGAATATTACGCCAAAGAAGTTTACAAAATTGACATGGGGAGTTACCACCCGTCCGCAAGTAAGTCTACTCTGAGTAAATTGTGTGTGCCTGTGCCAGGTAGAGCTTGGTTGCTGTGGGATTGCATAATGTGCCTGACGGGTGCAAGGAGGCGTGGAGAGGTATCTTCACCGTTACCTTGAGACCGCTCAGGTGGAGAGTGCCTGGAGGTTCAGGTCCCACAGAAATTGCAAGGGGGCAGTCCAGAGTAATCCAGAGGTGTGACATCCCAGGCCCCCTCCCCCCCCCACATCTTAAAAATGCAGCAAGGGGTTTCCTCTGCAGAAAGGGAGGATGTTGACACAGCCTCCTACCAGTTTTATTTCTGTAATACTTGAACGGTACAGCACAGCGTTATTCCTCAGGATAAAACCCCAAGGAAGTGAGTTAAATTTCATCAGTGAGGTTTACTTGGTAATCAGACTCTATTTGGATCTGAACGCTGGGAATGTTTTGAGTGCTGAGGTGTAAACCTGGGACGGGCTAAGTAAGAAGAGATGTGTGTGCCTCTGAACATCTGCAGAGCGCCTGTCTTGCCCTTCTGTGAGAACTAAACCCTACACAGCCAAACTTAAGCACTTGCAGAGGCTTCACAGCAGAAAACACAAATACAAATTGGGCTTTGCCTTTGGTAAAGAGTACATAACATCCCACCCCACCCCACCCCAATTTGACCAGCTGGTATCTTTGAGGAGCAGATTATATCTGTAAGACTCCTTTTTCTGGTTCTTTCCTGTCATTCTTCCCTGTGTAATATTTCTTCATATTGGGAACTCTAGCTCCCCAGCGCTTTCTCCTTAGATACTCTCCACCTCAGCACTTCATCAGACCGGCTGCTCCAAGTCCCTGATCTTTCTCAATGAACACCTGGGTCAACAAATCTCACAAAGGGGATTAGCTTACTTGTTAAGCTCCCTCTGACCCCCCCTCAAGGGGTCCACCCCCCCACATCCCTTCCTGTTGCCTTATCAGTTTCCTATCTCTTGTTCCCATCCTGTGGCCTCCTCTTCTCTAGCCACTGCTGGATTATGTTGGAGTTGGGCAGGATTTTCAGTGTGGAGGGGGTAAGAAATGGGGAGAATGGAGAAAAACAAGAATTATCTCTGACCCTAAAATTCAAGTTTTTCTTGCCTGCCAAAAAATTGTCCAAACCTGGAAGTTCCACTCTAGGTTTCCTTTTTCAGTTTAATAGTCCGTCATATTTGTGGTCATCTTCTCTCCAGGTACAAAATAAATCTCCCTCCAACATTTTTTTTAAGGGCCAGCTTCCTGGACACAGCCTGGGAATGTGTCAGCTGGAACTGATTAGATGGACTCTCTTCTGAAAATCAGGGCGAGCTTGAAGAAGTTGGCTTCATACAAATCTAAAGGCTGAGCATTCAGGGTTGGCAGTGGCAGAATTCAAATTGCAGCTCCAGTTTGGACTTGCTGTTGGGCTGTGGCCAAAAAGGTCTAGTCAATTAGAGTGCATATATACCCCAAAAGGCAAGATATAAATATAAAAATAACAATGCTCTGCATTGTAACTACAAACAACTCCAGCCCAGTGGAGTTATCTTCACATAAAGGGGCAGGGTTATACTGCTATCCTGTGTGTATTGCATTAATATTAGACAGTGTTGTTGCTTTAACTCTCTGAAATTGTGGACTTTTTTGCTCTTTAGAAAATCAGACTATGAAATATGTGGAAGTCTAATAACTTATTATTATGGTCCAGAGCAGAATTGGAATACCTTAGAACAACGTTTCTCAACCATGTGCTGGCTGGAGAATTCTGGTAGTTGAAGTCCACCCTTCTTAAAGTTGCCAAAGTTAAGAAATACTGTGTTAGAACAATAGTCAAATGTAGGTCAGCTTGAGAAATTTTCTAGGAGGAAGAAAAGGATTGGACTCAATGTGTTCACTAAAGTGCTCACTGATTAATTTTCTAATTTGTTCTCTTCTGCTTCTGTTATATGGAGCCTATATATTGATACCTGACCCATCTCTGAGAAGTAGGTAATGGAGAAGGCATTGCAGCCACCTGGGTAACTCCATACTAGATTCTCTATCTCAATATTCTATTTATTTTGACTGTTACAGAGGTGTAACTTTGAGGCTTGCTGGGGCACGCCAGTGAGAGTCAGGGAGCGAGAGTGCCAGCCAGCAATTTCTGCACCCACTTCTCAGTGAGCTGCCTTCTCTCTCTCTCTTTTTTTTATTGTCAAATGACAATCCAAGGAAGAGGACACCCTGGGAATCAAAGGGCTTTATTATTGTAATTAAGGCACCATCCAGAAGTCTTATGATAAACACACTCCACCCTTGCTGCCCTGAGGGAAAAAACATTTTGCAGAACGTGCTGGAGCCAAGCAGGGATGTGCAAGCTCTCTGATATAATTTGTGGCAATGCTGAAATGCAGAAGAGAACTCGAGACATTAGAATGCACACGTACATAGTGCGTGTACACACATCCGCACATGCAGTTGCCTGCCCCCCCCCATGTGTCTTAACATGCAAAAACTCATTTCTTTTGTGACTGTTTACCATCTTAAATAACCTCCCAATCCCTTTGATCATGTTTCTGATGTGGCTGAGCCATAGAAAGAGGCAGGGTTATCCAGAGTGATCGGTTTACAGCTATGCATTGTTTTTTCTGGAAAATTTAATTGTCCGTGGAAAATGAAGGGTTATCTTGGCATGAACGCAAAAGTGCCCCCGACACTTTTGGATCCCTTTGCCTGGATTTGAAATAGAACAGCAGAAAAGGACAAGTGGAGGTTGCAGGCCTTGGCCAATAGGGAGCATCAGATGTTCAAGAGCCCATAGCTAGCTAGCTAGCTTGCTTGCTTACTGCAGCCAGGCCTCCTGTGCAAATACTTGGTTGAGAAGATCAGAGTAAAAGAGTTAACCATTTTTCCACTGCTGTCTAGTTATACGTTAGGCTGGATGAGCCGTTCTAAAGGGGGGGGAAAGCGTACACAGTCAAGAAGAAACGGCTACAATATAAATGAGAAAACACAAGGCTAGGCTGCTCTGCACCGTTTCCCTTCAGCCTTAAAAGGTTTAAGTCTCTAGTACCAGTCAAGCAGACAATGTGATGGTGGTGGGAGGGGAGGAGATCTCCGCAAACACACTGAGGTCATAGAGTAAAAGGCCTGGGAAAGAGTAATCATTCAGGGTTTTTTTTTTTAAAGAAACTTTTTTTAAACCACAGAGACATTAGCATTTGGTAACAGACTTCAGCTCAAATATTACAAATATGCTCTAATTATACTCATAGTTGGCTATATATCACTGCGCAGATCCCTGATAGGTCTTTGAGGGACATTTTGTAAATATTTTTAGCAATGAAGAGATTTAAAAGGAAAACCCAGAGATATTGTATATATCTCAAGGCATATTTTGTCTTCAATATTATCTTTGGCCAACTGTTCTATATAAATACAGTAAATATGAATAGCCCTGGCATGGTGCCAATCTCCTGGGATGAATTTTAGTCAGAAGGTATTTATGGGATATGCATAATACTGTGTCAACATTTAAAGAAGGAACCTGATTAGTTCAGAATTTATTCACATTAAACTTTTCGTGTGCTGCTGGGTTAAGACTTGAAGTAGAATTGTGCTAAAATTTTGCCAGTTCATTTACACATAGGGAATAAAAGGGCATTTGGCTTCTCCTGGATGGGCTGAAGGAGCTGTAAAAGATATCAGGATAGGTTGCTTAATGTGTCCCCCAAAACCACTGAACTGGATTTTCTGCGAAATAGGCAAAGACATGCCAGTCTGATTACTTTCCTTAACCTAGCTTCTGTATAAGCATTCCCAGTGAAGTTTCTGAGTAGATAGATGTGTATTAATTTAGAATCAATATATATTTCTGAATCATCAGTTTGTATTAGCATTCTATTTCCACTTCCTATTCTGCTAGAAAATTCTCTTCTGATTGCAATGGATCCGACTTCCATCTAAAGCAGGGGTGTCAAACTGGTATCATCACAGCGTCATCACGCGACATATCGCTACTTTTTCCTCCTTCGCTAAATCAGGCGTGGGCGTGGCCAGCGTGTGACACATCCGGTCCACGGGCCGCAAGTTTAACACCCCTGATCTAAAGGCTGTACATGAAATATTTATCACAACACTGTATCAGTTATTTTCTTTCCTAGGTTTCCTAGGAGCATGCCATAACATTTAAAATAAAAGACTGATAATGCTGCTAACTCCACTAGTTGTATTGAGTTAGTAAATGTTTGTCTGTCTGTCTGCTTTGTGCCAATTGCACTCATAAATAGTAAGGTCAAGAGTGAGAAGGAATAAACTAGTAAAGCACCTTCCCTGCTTAAATCAGTTATTCATTCTTAATATAAAAATACAGCCAGCTACAAACCGGTATGAATATGACATCTACACACACACACATATATATATTAGATATAGAATCCTGAACATACTTTTTAGCAGGTTAGCTGTAGTACCAAGGTTGTGGAAATCCTTGGAAACCGATACTTCACAATGTTTGAGATTGCACACATAACACCTTTCCTTGACCCATTAAAGCAGGGGTGAAATCTCCTTCCCTTCCCTACCGCATGTGTGCCTCATGTGCAATTTTAGATCCTCTCCGCATGCGCAAAGCCTTCTGCACATGCACAGAGGGTCAAAAACAGGTTACTTCCTGGTTAAAACCAGGAAGTTAAAACCAGGAAGTAACAACGTCTGGGTGGGTGGACGGAGCCTTGCGCTGCCATCGCTACTGGTTCGCCAACCACCCGCCACCGCTACCTATTCACCCGAACCGGTAGCATTTCACCCCTGCATTAAAGCAACCATGTAGTTTTCCAGGTTCACTCAACTACTTTGGAAACTGCTGCTGCCAGTGATGGGTTCCACATGATGCAAAATATCACCATTTTGCTGTGCTGAGAAAAAAGTGATACAAAGCAGTTATGTGTACATAGTTTGGGCCGGTTCGGGTGAGCCGGTAGTGATGATGTGATGTCACCGAACTGATTCTCTTTGACTGGGAGCTGCGCCCT